GGTATGTCTTTACTCTTGGTGGATGACCTATTTGTTCGAAGTCTACTGTTCAATCTGTTGTGGCATTATCTACAACTGAAGCTGAATACATGGCAGCAGCTGAACCTGTAAAAAAAAGCTTTATGGCTTACTGGTTTAGTGAAGGAGTTGGGTGGTTAGCAAGGTGGAGTTCAATTGCTTTGTGATAATCAAAGTACTATTCACCTGGCTAAGAATCAGGTATATCATGCTAGAACTAAGCATATTGATGTAAGGTTTCACAAGACCAGAGAGTTGGTTGCATATGGAGATATTTTGTTTCAGAAGGTACATACTGATGAGAATGTCGCTGATATGTTCACCAAGCCAGTTACGACAGACAAGTTCATGCATTGCTTGGACTTGTTGAGTGTTTCAAGTTGTTAAAGAAGTAAGGTAACCCAACCCACATTGAATGTTTCCTAAGGAGCAGGATATTCACCAAGGTGGAGATTTGTTAGGTATGACTCATAAATATACCGAGAAAGTCTCGTAGTGAGGGTTACGATTATGTGGGTTGAGGGTGCGAGGGGTGCGGCCCGCGGTATGGTATAGAGTTATTTTTATAAATATGTATCAGGGTTTATTTATTATAAAAGGAGATATAACCTAAACTTATGAGAAATTGAATTGCATAAAAATTCTAGCGCCGCCTAAGACACCGAGGACGTAAGCACATTGTTGAACATCGTTAAAATTCTTGTGTTCTTTCTGTTTTCTTTACCCGATTTTTCAACAAAATAAACTAGGAATGAAGAAGGAGAGGAGAGTAGAAAGAATCACATCTCTCTATTGTGGTTAAGATGTATTTATAAGGACTCTAGATGATGATGTTAGGCATATGATTATTATGAGTACTCGTAGGTTAATATGTTAAATAAATACAATCATCAAATTTTTGATTTCGGGCCGATAAATCACGTGAATTTATCAAAAGTCTTGTATATATATTATAATTCACTCGAAAGCTTTAATATTTTTATACCAAGAGGATATGAATCATTTAAAAGCACCGGTAAATGAAGAAATCTATTTGAAGATGTCACTGACAAAGAACTGTCAATTTCCAAAGAATATCTACGAAGACGTAACAGCAGCAAAACAAACAAAAACAAGAAATGATATGTACCTTCCTTGAAGGAGAGCCTTTTTAAGCCAAGTATCAAACTCCAAAGCCCAGGGAACTACAACACCGTCCAAGTCTTTACTAAGGAGTAAGGACCTCCAAGTTATGAGTGGCGGCTCCTGAACCCATGATCAGAACATCTTCTTCCTTGAGAGGGGCCAAAGCCTTTCCCATGTTGTAATGGTAATTCCCATCCCTTTCCGACTGAACTGAGAGTTGACACACCCGGATATTGGCCTCCGGATACATGAGCATCAGCGGAACCCAAGCACCATGATCCAGCCCACGTTCTGTCTTCATCAACATGCTCGAACCCAGATGCAATAAGCAGTTCCTTCACTCTCAGTGCCAACTCCTGTGCCCCTGGTGCTGGATACTTCAACTGTTAACAAACACAATAGAGCTAAAAAGAACTCCACCGGTGTGAAATAATTGAATGTTGGAAGGTAAGAAAATCACCTTGTACAAAGGATCGGGGAAACCAGAGAAGTCATGGATTGTGTCAGTGCGGGGAACGATGTTGACTGAGGGAAAACAAGTGTCCCAGTGAGCGGAAATGACGAGGATGGATTTGGGTGTTTGGGGAAACACTTTGTCCTTCCATGAAAGCAAGAAATGCTTTGCCGGAAGAGAGTCATCTATTGGCAGCGCCGGTGATCCGTGTGATATTAGAATGTATCCTTCATTCTTTTTACGATATCTGGTGTTTTATGAGCAATTATTATAGCTCAGTTTCTCTGTTTATACTTTTTAGCAGCTCCACTAGGTCGTTGGAGTTGGTAAGCGACAGGCGGGGCAGCTTACCCGTTTCAGATCATTGCCTAATAAACTATTATTTTTAATTAATCACCGGTGTCCAATCAACTAAATCATATCAAATTTTACTTAAATTATGAGACAATTCTTATAATTCAGTTTATTCCATTAAAAATATCATGATTTAAATCTCTGATTTTATTTAAAAAATTAATGTCTCGTCTTGGACCAACTTCTTGTTGGTAATAAACTATTCGATACTGCTAGATAAGGAAGATCGTATCTTATCAATCCAGGGATATTGTTGGCCGATATGCTGGCCCTTGTCGGCTTCTTTAAATACATGTTTTATTAAGTGGATAATGTAAAATACAATTTGTTAACGAATGTTAAAAAATAATAGAAATTAATTTGCAATCGAAAATATTATCAATAGTATATCCTTTTAAGTAAGATAGAATAATTAATGATCATTTGTAAATTCTATCCTATTTTATACCGGTGTATATCAATGTGTAGGGTTCGTTATATACTCATCAAACAAATCCTAATAAAAAGAAGTGAATAGATCAAAGACAAAAGTTGGTTCCCAAATCAGTTTCATGTAGGCAATGATAACCTAGGGTGGGGACAGTGACTTGTTTTTACTGTTATAAAAAAAGCAAGGTTGATGAAATAATATTTCACAGCAAACTTTTTCTGTCAACAACAACAACAATTCCTTCATGATATAAGATCATCCAAATCTTTATACTAATGTTATCCAAAGGGTAATATCCAACTTATGACATGTATCATCTGCCAATTACATTTCGTATAATAATGTCAAACACTTCCATTTGGGGTTCCCCATCAGATGAGATCTCAAAATATGCAGAGTTTTCACTTTCAGAGACATCCAAAGGGACAACCTTGACCAGCATTACACACAATGAGATTAAGCATCATTGTTGGTATATCATACAAGTAATTTAAGAACATCAGTAAAATTGGGCTATCAAAACAGTTGGAAATCATCAGAGCATCATAATCATATTGTGGACAGATCCACTTATCTCCTACTGGAAAGGAACATCGATTATTCATAGAATATCAACCAAAGGTATCATACATATATCTTGGAGGGAATCGGATTTCCTGGAAGAGTAAGAAACAAAATTTTATAGATAGAACAATTGTTGAAATAGAAACGAAATACCATTTCTAGTAACCGAGTTAATGATTTTGTTTGCCTCCCAACAAAGGAGATGAACAACATGAGAGAAACAACTTACAGAAGAACTAATGTTGTGTTTAATCCCAAAAGTACTCCAACATTCAACCAAATTACAAACATTTAGATGAAAAATCAAGGGAAGAAAATCAAGCTCGAATATAACTTGTGGTCAACCATGATGCTTAGTGAGGGAAAACAATGCTCGAATGATGGCTTATGAAACATTTTCTATGAATTATATATTAAAATGCAATTTTACGTCAACAATCCATTGTCTTCCAGTGGTTAGGATATCTGGCTTTCAGCGACGAGACCTGGGTTCAATTCCCGGCAATGGAATCTTTTTCAGTTTATTAATAGTAGATCTGGATCTTGATTGCTTCCGGTTAGAAATAATTCAGACTCTTTTTTTGTATCATTTGCTAGAATGTTATACAAAAATATTTACATTTTCCAATCACATCATAACATTAATCAATGAACCCCTCCTATGTTATAAGCATCTCCATCTTCCCACCTTGAGCTGCTACATCAATGGCTTCCATGGAAAACAAATGGGTGCAAGAGACCCTAGCTCCAACAAGATCAAAACCCAGTTCATCAAACGCATCTAGAATCGACACCAATCTGTCCCCTCCTTTGTTGCTGTCACTTTAACCACAAACTGTTCTCCAATCTTCTCCACTTTCACCTCCTGATATGCTCCAATAAAGTGAACTATATAATTTTACTGTCAGCATGAGAACTATATAAACCACCTTTATTATATATGCTCAATAAAGTTAAGCAAACCACCTTTGGGATTTGTATATGCTCAATAAAGTGAAGTAGTCGTTTTTTTATAACCCTAAGGTTTTGGCACTCACTTTGTAGTTCATCCAACTTGGCTTTCAGCTTGTAAAAATGGAGAACAACACCTTTATTGAGAATCTTACAGTTTTGGGGTTTGTGGGAGTCTGCAGAAGGTGAAACTTTCTGCTAGATGCTGCTGTTCTTCTCATTAGCTCTAGTAACCGTATTTATTTTTGCCTTGTTCTTTCAACGTGCAGTGGCTTTTATAGGATGAAAGAAAGGGCGCGTCTTGGAATTCAATACTTTTTTGCTAATTGCTGTTATGTTGGAATGATTGTCAATATTTAATTAGAGAATGGGGGATATGAACAAGCTGCTGGAAAGTAGTTTTTGCAATGCAATGGTTAAGGCATGGTAAGAGGTTTCATTGATTAACAGTACTAATAATTAAGGGTGTTTCACATTTAAATCCTTTTCTCCACGTCTAATTATTATGCTGTTGGCCTATAGCTCAATGTTTTAAGGGTGCAAGGCACACTCTGTGCACTAGAATCCTCACATTTCCTGGGGAGTAGAGGCAGAGAACACTTGCCTTTGAGTGAGCCAGGGTGCAATATGTACAGGCCCGTGCTATCATACTCATATCTCTTTCTTTTTTTTTTTTTTTTTGAACTGAATACTGATATGTCTATTTTATGTATAGAACAAGCTTAAGATATAAGATTCTTATAACAAATTCTAAAGACTGGTCCATTTATATAGAAAACAAGCATAATTTTCTTTCTATTTTGTAGGCCAATAATCATGATTTCCTTAAGGTTTATACTTGTTGAATGAGCAAAACATTGAGAAGTACAGAATTTGATATAGCTCCTTATACTACCACTTCAACACATTATCCTAAAGCTCCTTCCTTTGGCCAAAAAAAGGCTCCTTCAAGATGTTCACTTGCTTTAAAAACATCCAATTGCCTTTTCATGCATATATGCAGTCAGTTTTTATTACCTAATTTCACAGCAAATCCAGGGTCGTGAAATATGATTTCTTTAATCCTTAGGATGACTAAGAAGTTATACAACTCAGAGTAAAAATGCCAAAAAAAAATTACCAAATTTCACATTGATTAAATATAAAAAGTAAGCAAAAAGAGATCTTGATACAACCATGTTAGCCAGCTTCACATGGTACTAAAAAACTGAGACTGGGTTTTTCTTATAACGACATCTCTTTCTATTGCACTCCCGTAGAGGAACCAGACCTCCGGCTCTTCCTTTCTTTTCCAACCCAAATTTCTAAAGCAAGCACTAGAAAAGTATATGTTGTGAAATTTTATGTTTCTTTGCACTAAAGAGTTGCTAAAGCTAAACTTATGGAAAAAGAACAGCCAAAGCAAGTTCAGTTGGTTTTCTTCTCATCTTCATTGGCAGTGGTAATATCTGTACTGCCAGGCGCCTGGTCATCCTCGCCACCGAAACCAAATTCGTTTATTCGTTTCTTATCCACGGGATATACCCACCTCTGGTACAGATAGATTAAAAATATAAGATCTGCAAAACAGACATGAGAATGAGAATTACACCTGATATCCATGGAATACACAATATACTGACAGAACATGTGTAATTCAGAATGATCTTTTAACTCGGATTATACTCGCACAGGATCAGCATTTGTGGCTATAGATACCCAATCTCTCTATGTACAATTAAATAAATTCAAAGCAAATAATAACTTCAAAGAGTAAAAGGAAGGTCAAGAAACACTGTAAGCTAGGCATAATCTTACACTTTGAGTATGTAAAAATATAATGGCTGATTAGACAAATGGTTATACCAGCACTTGTATCAAATACACATCCCAAGTTGATAAGTTGCAAGTTTCTGTTCTTTTCTTTTCTTTTCTTCTTTTTTTAAAGAAGGTTTACTGAGAGTTTTTTATAATTAATCTTCCCTTACAAAATCAAACAGATTATCAGATAATGAGTCATTCAGCCCTTTGTACTGTTAGGATCATAAATCCAACCAACATATTTGCTTGGTAAGGAGGAATGGGAGGAGGATAGAAACATCTTTATTGCAATGGTTACATTCATAACCACCTTCCTATTTCGTAGTAGCTTAACCATTGGTTAAAACCTTTTCCTCTCCTCTTTTGCATCCTCCATACCAAGCAAATCATGAGAATTGAAAGATACAAAACAAGAAAAATTATATCTTACCATCACGGAAGACAGAAAGTCGATGAAGTGTTGGCATTTTTATGACGAATGCAAAGAGATCATCAATGATGGTGTTGAGGAACTTGTAAGTCATCTGCCTCCAGGGTAAATGAGCCACAGACTTAAGCTTATAGTTTATGAAAAGTTGAGGGCACATCATAATAAAACCTGCCAAAAACATAGAAGAAAAGCAACATTATTGCAGTTTAAATATGCACAATTTAAAATTTTGCAGCATATAAAGAAGTAAACATAAAAATATTAATAAAGTTATAGATGAAAAAGAAAGTGATCATTCACTTAACAAGCATAGGTTGGGGTTCATTGACCATACAAATTTATGTACACATAAAGACAATCAAATTCATCATTATTTAGATGTCTCCTTACTCTTCCTGAATTGCAACTAATTAGCTTGGTCATAAGATAATTTTATATAATGATTAAACATCATGAAACAGTCGACCCAAGTTCACGAAGTAGAAGCCCCAATTCAATTAGTCATGTTAATCTTCAAGTGTTCATGCTCACCAAGTTATGAAGTATAAATTTTTTATCCTCTACCTAAAGCAGTACTTGGTTGCCTATCTGGAATTTTTGTTTCTCTCTTAGAAACTTGGGTGGAGAACATGGCTCTAGGCCTATCAAGAGCTTTTTCCTAAGCCTGACAAGACATGATTTATCATAGTTATTTTGCCAAACAAAACATCCTAGGTGTGTCTGAACTAATAACAATATTGATGTGTGAAATTGTCCGGGGTTCTTATTTTTCTTTTTTCTTTGATAAGAATAGGAGGCCTCATTAAAAAAACCCTTCATGATTAATGGAGCTCATAGGTAGCTCTTTAATCAGTGGAAGGAGGAAAAGAGTGCCTTAGAAGTATATTAGAATCTTGAAAAGTACATAGGAGTTACAACAACCTGCAAGTCCCCTAGAAGTAAAAATTTTTTTTTGATAGGAATAGGAGGTCTCATTAAAAACCTCCCTCATAGTTGGCTCTTGTGAAAGAGGCAACTAGCGGAAGGAGGAAAAGAGTACCTCATTATATTAAAAACCATGTTTACATAAGATTGCAGCTTACTAAATAAACTGTCCGAAATATAATACAAACCAAAACAACCATAAAGCTCAAACATCAACCAATACCCTCTTTTGTTAGCTTATCAGCCTCCCAATTGCATGACCTAGGAATCCATCTAACAATAATACCCCTAGGAGAAACTAAGGCCTCAATTTCCCCAACTAAAGTATTGAAAAAAGTAGGGGCAAAAAATGGCATCAAAATCCAGTCAACTGCTGTTTTACAATTTGTTTCAAGGATTAGTCTTCCCTTCAAAGCCCATTCGGAAGAAATGAATAGATCAATCCCTTGTTTAATAGCTTTCAGCTCAGCTAACATGGGAGGACCAGGTCCCACCGCAAAAGAAAAGGTATATAAAGTAGAACATTCTGAATCTTTCAAGACTCCTCCAATACCTCCCTACAGCCCATCACCTCTTACCGCTCCATCAACATTGAATTTAAAGAAATTCGAAGGAGACGGAGACCAGTTAAGAACCTTCTCCTTATTGTAGGATTTTATAGGCAAATTGTCTGCAAGCGATGGATCCCCTACTAGTAGGTCAACTTGAATATTAACATGAGGAAATTTCTCTAAAAACCATTTAGCCAACCTAAACCTGGAAATGAAGAATAGGGATGAATTATCTAATGTCCAGTTTTCAAAAACCACTGCATTCCTAGCTTTCCAAAGAGACTATAGAACAACACCTGGAATGAACTTCCAAATATTAGAACAGTCCCTTAGATAAGACCAAGAGCAAAGAAAGGAAGGAGGATCTTGGGGCATGACCGAAGAGATATCCCAAAACCTTAAAAATCTATACCACAACTTCTCTGCAACCGAGCATGAAAAAAACATATGACGAATTGATTCCTCATATTTGTGGCAAAAAGGGCACAGAACATCTTCAAGATTGACCCCTCTTTTCTTCAATTCCACTCTAACCGCCAATTTCTGATGAGTAAACTGCCATAGAAATGTTTCCACTCGAGGAGTTAATCCGGACCACACCCATTTCTTCCATTGAAAATGTCCTCCAGTTCTGCTTGAGATAGTCATTCTACAAGATTTTACCGAGAACAAACCATCCCCTTTCCCCGACCACCCCAGAAAATCATCCACTGATTCATTCGGTGTTATGTTGTCAATCAAAAGCATTAAGGAAAGCCACTGATCCATTCCCAATCACAAAGATTTCTCCTTAGCTGAATGTTCCAAACCCAACCATTAGCTACAAATCCACCAAATTCAACCAATTTTCCCCTTTTGTTAGTCGACAGAGCATAGATTCTAGGAAATTGAATCTTAAGAGTAGATCCATTAACCCAAATATCATTCCAAAAATCAATTGACCTACTATTCCCCACTTGGATCTTCGAATTGGATCTCAAACAATCCCCAATCTCGTCTTTTTTCTCATAGTTACTCCGAATACCTCTCCAAACCCATGAATCTTAAAGAGAAACAGCCTTGCCTATAGACAGAGACTCCATACTGACATTATGAATACAACAAATCAGTTTTTTCCATTGAGAGTCTTTGTCATTTGCATACTTCCAAACCCATTTCCCTAGCAAAACTCTATTAATCATACTCAAGTCCAATACTCCTAAGCCTCCTTCTTCCAATGGTTGACAAACCGTACTCCAATTCACTCAATGAACCCTCTTCTTGTCAGATTCTTCACCCCAAAGAAATCTTACCAATACTGAGTTAATTTTCTGATTGACCTTAAACGGAATTTTGAAAATAGAGAGGTAAAAAATAGGTAAGGAGGACAATACCGATTTTATCAACACCAATCTTCCAGCCAACGATAAAGAAGCAGCTTTCCAACCTGCTAATCTGATGAAAACTTTCTGTAAAACTGGTTCCCACAATAACTCTGAATTTTTCTTTGTTCCTATCGGAAGACCTAGATAAGTCATAGGAAAAGATCCCACCCCACAACCTGCTTCCAGTACTAAATCTTTTAATCTGTCCTCTGCTACATTAACACCAAACAATTTACTCTTGGATAGATTAAGATGAAGCCCTGAAATTAAACTGAATACCCTCAATACTCTCTTTAATTCAGAATTTGAGTTGAGGAATCTCTGCAAAATAAGATTAAGTCGTCTGCAAACTGCAGATGAGTCAACTTAAAAAGATTCTCTTCAATACCAATATTGAATCCTTCAAAAAGACCAAGGGTAGCAGCCTTACTCAACATTAAATTCAATAGCTCACCAACAATATTAAACAGAAGAGGAGATAGACTACAACCTTGTCTCAGCCCTTTGCCCATCTGAAATTCTTGAGTTGGGGAACCATTAATTAGGACTGAAATTGAAGCAAAAGAAATATAATAATCCATCCAAGAAATCCATTTGTCTCCAAAACCCATTATCTTCAATAACCTCAAAATAATTGGCCATTCCACTGAGTCAAAGGCTCTGCGAAAATCTACTTTAAAAACAACTCCTTTCCTACCTTTTTTCCTCCAGTAATCTATAGATTCATTTGCCATAAAAGCGCAATCAATGAGCTGCCTACCCGGAATAAAGGCGAACTGCAATGGGCTGATCAAAACTTTAATAACAGAAACCAATCTCCTCGATAAGATTCTAGAGATAATTTTGTACAAACTTCCAACAAGACTAATTGGTCTATAATCTTCAATAACTTCAGGGTTGAGTTTTTTAGGAATCAAAGTAATGAAAGCATGGTTGACCCCATGCTCCCAACTCATTCCTCTGTGAAAGTCATCCACAAACTTCATTAAATGATCCTTCAAAACAGGCCAGAATTTTTTAAAGAAACCCATCGTGAAGCCGTCTGGACCCGGGGCTTTGGAGTTGTCCGAGTGAAACACTGCTTCCCTAACTTCATGTTTTGAAAACCGTACCTCAAGTCCATTTTTCTGCTCCTCTGATAATGTCATGAAATTGAGATTAATGTCCTCTACCTCCAGCGTATTTTTAGAGCTGTAATTCTCCTTAAAATACTCAGACAAATTTTTTCAGCTTCTCCGGATCAGAAATTTCTTCATCAGCCTCTCTCAGGGCCAAAATTGAATTCATTCTATTTCTATTTAATGCTGTTAAATGGTAAAACTTTGTATTCCTATCCCCATCCTTGATCCACTTCAATCTTGATCTTTGTAACCAAATACTCTCTTCCCTCCTATGCAACATCCATAATTCATTCCTGGACAGAATCAACAAATCCCTCCTTGCAATTTGAATTCCAGATCATTAATCAAGTTTTCTAGTTGAGAATTTTTTTCAAAAATCCCCTTTTGAGTCGAAAAAGGCCTATCCCTGATCTTCTGCTTTGTTCCTCGAAGTAAAGAAAATAGACCCCATCGACCATTCGCCTTCGCCGTAGACAATGAATTTTCAATCAACTCAACAAATCTGTCTTCCTCTAACAAATAGTTGTATAATCGAAAAGGTTTTGGTCCCCAATTGTTGCATTCTTCTACTAACACCACAGGATTATGATCCGAAAGGGATTTTGGGAACATTTTTTGGATCATATTAGGAAATTGATTTAGGAAAGAACCACTGATAATAAACCGATCAAGCCTTTCCCAAGTAGGAGACTCTCTGTTGTTGCACCAAGTATATCTTCCTCCTACTAATGGTAAATCCATAAGATTAAAATGTTGAACAAAGGATCTAAACAAATCCATGGAATGCCAGTTTTGACCTACACCGCATTTCTCCTCTGTATCCAAATAAGAATTAAAATCCCCTCCTATGCAGACTGGCAGGTTTAAACACTGCACAAAACACATCAGCTCCCTAAAGAATTCCTCTTTATCCGCTTCTACTGCTGGACCATATACATTTATTAAAACACAATCAAAATTATACAGCTTGAACTTTCCTGATAATGCTATGAATCTGCTATGTTTATGTTCGGCATTGACCACAAAAACATTCTCATTTCACAAACTTATCAGACCTCCTGCGGAACCCTCAACTGGAAGAAAGACATGACCTTTCAATAGATTACCTCCTAACCTCCTCCATAAATTGCTTTTACAGACATTCAGTTTTGACTCCTGTAAGAATAGGATAAACGGCTTCTCTCTAGTAACAAGTCTGGCCACTGCTCTTATTTTTTCTCTTCTCCCAAGACCTCTAATATTCCATGTGATTAATTTTAACTTAGACATAAAATTGACAATCATAAACTCCACATCAAACCAAAGAAACCATCAGGGTCATTGAGAAGACCCCTTCAATTCCATCTTAAAAATCTCCTCCTCTAATAATTGCTGCCCCCCTTTAAAGGTGATCCCCAACATTTCACAGACCTCCCTAGTAGCAGCAACTTCAATCCTAGCTTTAACAGAAGATTGGGAAGACTGAGATACCTCCCTGACTTGCTCCACTGACTCCCTGACCTTACTTCTAAGAACCTTTCTATAGACTCTATCATAGAAGCTGATAGACACTTCAGTATCCGAGCAAACACTTCCCGATCGACGAGGTGCAATTCTCAACTTTCGCTTATTAGTAAGGCTTTTAGACCGAGGAATACACTGATCCTGCTGATTAATAGGAACTAGATGACTTTCCTTTGCTTTAAACTGATCATCTTTCTTGTGGCATGAAGTACTTCCCTCTTGAATCTCATTATTTCTATTCTTTATACTCGAACTTGAGAAGATTTCCTCATTAGAGTTACATAAATTATCATTCATAACCTTCTCCATCTGCTTACCACCTTCCGATTTATCAACTGTACATTTAAACCCCTCTACATCATTATCAATCTGCAAACTAATAATGTGGTCCCCCTCCAGGCTTTTTGAACCAATGTAGTTATGCTTTCTTATTACATCTCCCTGTTCACATGGATTCACTTCCTTCTCCCCTTGAAAATTGACTTTCGCCCCCCTATCCTCCCCCTCATCAGCAGCACTCAAGTGAATTGCAGGACTGGCATTGGGCTGTAAGACAAACTTGTCCCCAACCCATTTAAAATTAAATGCAGGCCCACTGGGAACCCATTTTTTATTTCGAAATAATGCAGCCTCATTTTCCTCAGATTGCACTGAGTCTACCGGATCAATTGTATCTCTCAATCCCAAGCCCACGTGATTGTCGTTCTGACTTGTCTTAATTTCCAAGAAACCTGACAGCCCACAATCAGAATTATCTGCTGTTGACTTACTCGATTGGACATGTCCCCCACTGACTCCATTCACTCCACTGTTCTGCCCACAATTCAGCCAAGAAATGACTTTAAGCCTAGCATCCTCTGCAGACTCATCCCTGTCTTCAGCCAGAGTAGGATGTCTGCCAGATCCCTCCTCAGACACGACATAACCACTGTTCCTTTTTTTGAAAATTTCTCCATCTTCTTCCTTCCCGCTTCTTCCTCTGGATTAATCAAAACAGATCCCAGTGTGATCGTAACTTTGAACGATCTACCATACGAACCAATTGTCACTTTATCAAGAACATCATAAGGACTTTCCACCCTAAGCAGAACTTTTGCCGTCGAGAGGTCCGATCTGCTCTCTGAATCTTTGTTAAAACATAGAAACTGACCCCACTTCCTTGTAAACTTTCTTAAGAATGCCTCATTCCAGCACAGTAAAGGCAATCCAAATAACTCAATCTGGCAAAGTGCCGAAGGAACTCCATCCTCGTTCAAAACTGGGGCTAACCAATCAAAGCATAAGAACAACTTTTCCTTTTTATTCATCCATACCTGTGAGGCCTCCTCCACCGAGTTGAAAGTAATTATGCATGCATTCCATGCATAACCCCATCTAACAACTTGAACTTCCATGCCTTCTAACTCCAGAGCGTCCTTCACCGAGTTATGTTCAAAAGAAGACTTCATTATCCCTGATAATGAACGTTTAACCCATTCTGAATTATCTGATGGAATATGCATGTCCCAAACATTTCTCACAGTTGGAACACTTTGATTGTTACCCGGCAAGTTTGCCCCTGATACTGTTTTCCTTCTCAAATCATAATTAGAGTTCACCACATCCTTATACGATCTGTCATCTCTCAAGCTTCTCAACGATACAGCTCTCCTCCCCGATCCTGATGCATCCTTAATCTCAGACCTGATCTCCAACATTCTCTTCCCCTCCACAGCTTCCCTTCTCTTAACTTTTTGATACTTAGCGACCCCAACTGAGACTCTTCTTCCATCAAGCCACTTCCCATTCACGAACCGGATTGCCTTGTTTCTACTTTCCTCACGAGCATATTGGACGAAAGCAAAAGTAGAAGATTTATAATTTGGTTTTTCTAAAAAAACGAGGGATGAAAATCCTCAATATCTTACCATAAGGACTAAAATAATTCCTTAACACCCCTCTGGAAACACTTTTGTTAAGATTATCAATGAACACTGTCCATTCCTCATCAGCATCAATGGAAATTTTCGACTTTTCTCTCTCTCTCTCTCTCTCTCTACCTAACGCGCTCATTCCTCTCACTTTTAGAATAATCACGCAACCTAATCCAAAAGAGATGTCCCCCTTAGAAGTAAAAATAAAAAACAGCCTTGACCTACAATTCAAAAATCAACCTATACCAGCCTTAGCTAGGGCATCTGCCTCTAGGTTAGCTGTCCTATTGTCCAGGGTTCTTAAACCAGTTAGACAAACTAACGTGAAAATCCAAGAAACAATAAAGGACAAAATGGCTTACCAAACATGTAGACACAGCTTGTGAGTGAAGAGAGAATCCAAGAATACCAGCTCCTATGACGCTCATACATAAGGGAGTAAATAGAAAAGCATGCAACAAGGAGGAAGAGCACGTAGGACAAATACTTCATTGCTATATCATCATATTCCTTGGTTTTATTGCTTGCATATGAATCACGATCTCGGAATCTCAACATAGGTATCTTTCCAGATCTATCAACCTGAAGATGAAAAACAATTATTACAAATTTGATACTCTTGCAATAAATTAACTGAAATATAGCAGATGATATAACCAGATTGGAACTAGATGTTACACCATCAAGATTGATGATACTATAGGATCAATGCAAAACTTAATGAACGTTTACAGACCAACTATCAAAACATGACTAGAATAGAGGCTTTTAGATGTAATTCAAACAAATATTCAGATTGGCAAGCCAAGAAGAAAAGTAAGAAGAATTCTTGTTCTCTTGTATCTTTCCAGCAACAACTAAAGAGAAGAATGAAGCATCTAAACATGAATCAGGAATGGAAGATGGCATTTGTGCACTAATATGCCCTCAAAATACTTAAAGGAGATTGAAAATGATGGTTTCTGCATTCAGTTACACAGAATATAAAATTTATACTCAATATATTAGCAATCCTCAAAAAATGGCCTTTGAATACAAACACTTATTAGGGAAGAAAAACAGATAACCAAGAAAGAAGTATGATCATATACAAGACAAGGTTGCCTATATCCTCATGGAATCAGAAAACTTTAACACACAGACAGGGATCTCATTCAATATCAAACTTTCAGTACAGATGTATCTAAAAGCTGGTCTTTCGTTTTTCTTTTTCCTTCTTAGAGGAGTGCCCAAGATTTAAATGAGATATCCAGCAAAACAAGTGCTTGTATGAACTCATACCTCTATGTGCATTGCTTTCCCTATCTTCCAAAACTCAATGCAGCAACCAATTCCAGAACTTGCCAGTATCATCCATGAGGTCTCATTGTCAAGTAGATAAAGGAAAATAATGAGCTGACACAAAAAGCTAACCACGACAGATTTTGCAGACAGTCCCTCCATAGACTTATTTTTGTTCCAAAACTGGATATCTGCAAAGAAGAAAACCAACATGCTAAACCTAAGTTTCCAATAGAAAAAAACCCAACCACTTGAGGAACAAAACATTTTCAAGATAACAGAAATGTTTACCATTCTTGAAAGCCAAGAAGTCAAACACGGAATGAAGCAAAGAAACAACCATTGTGATCACTAGCAAGTATGGATTTCCTTCCAGGAAGACCCTCTACAAAATTTATTAAGTAAATAGTCAGCATTTGACTGATAAAAGAGAATAAAAGGATCCTTAACTTAATAGTAGCGGCAGCCAACCAAATGAAAAATAAAAAAATTAGCTCTTTCAACATATAGGGTTCACTATTTACAACTTTTTTTTTATTTCCTCATCAGCAGAAAAGTATAGAATGTTTTCAGGAGAGTAACAAGCAGCCTGAACCTTATGACAAACAAAATCCAATTAAATACATATGCAAAAAAAAAAAAAAGTTCTACCCTCATCATGGTTCTGTTAAGAAAATAATTGGTTGCTAATAGAAGACAGAATCAAGTGAAGAAGAATTCATTCTTGCTTCAAAGGATATCACTTAATTTGCTACTCCACTTCTTTTACGATCATATCTCTTTCAACTTGAGGGATTTCTTTGAAAGAAGCGACAAGAGTAGTTATGTCATTTTCTAATTCCGCATAAGCAACTAAGAGCCTCTCACTAGAATAGAAGAGCCTGCTAACATTAGGGACTTCAGTATGTTGCCTACCTTTGCCAGTGGACTGGTTTAGTTATAGAATGGGGCTCAAATCAATCTAAAACTGTTCATGACCGAGACCCAGAGTAAAAATTAAACATCCAGCTAGCACAAGTTATCAACCCCAAGTTAGAAGTGAAACCCAATCCATATGGATTACATTCACTGGCCGCTGGTGTGGCAACAAAGTTTCTTTTTAACTTCCATTTGCTTAACTTTTCTCTCTTTAAATAGGTTACAAAGTTACTGGAAAGCAAACAAACTGCAGACAAAGAACACAAGAGAACATTAAAAAAACTAAAATCCATAGGCTTTTTAAAAAGAATCCTATAAACAGAATTACAGCAATTACATTTCATATTGCCTATAAGTCATGGGATAGAACTTTGAGCAACATATATTTATCATAGGTCAGGTGCTCAACACAGAAAACTAGCCTAAAAACTGGGTGTCCATCCTTATATATGTGAACTCAGCCCAGCATATATACCATACGACCAAATCTTAAATCTTTTACCTTCGCATAATCTATAATGATTTGTAAAATGACTAAAGTTCCAAGGCAATGGAAGATAGAAAATACCTTCAGTTCATCAGCCTCGCCTTCAAGCATGCTTCCATAACTACGATGAATTTGGAATGATTGGTCAATCTGCAGGAATAGTTGCCACTTCATCATGCTTATGGGTCCAACCTCCAAATTAAGAAGGAATTCTGTCACTGTCTCATTGATTGCTATCAACTTATCTCTAAGTAACCAAAACTCGTTGAAGAAGATGGTAGGATAGTAATTTCCATTACTAGGATCGATATTTAAATCTGCAAATCTGAAGTCAAGAAACTCAAAGCAGGTATATTTGAAGCTCTAACACATTCAAATAGTAGTTTCCCATAGGTAACAGTTGGATCATCAAATATGGGCTCAATTCAACACACATACTATATCCAGAAAGATACAGAGATCTTTATCAGTAAGAAGGATATGGTTATATCAACAGTGATTTCTAACAAATTCAATTTATGGTAAAAATGTGATCCAATTAATAAACTAACAATTCAGGTTACAGTTATTAACATAGAACCTCGGTCTAAATGGAGAAAAAAAATCATATAGGCAAACCCAAATAAAAGGGGAATTAGCAAAAAGACTTGGTTGAGTTGGGATGACTTCAATTAATATTCAAGCATAGAGATGTTATTATAGCTAAGAACAATAAAAGTTTATATTCTAATCAATAGTTGAGAATGAAAAATTATAAAAAGAGTTTCCAAGTTTGATGCTTCTTAATCCTTTGATATTCCGTTGTATATTAACTCCAATAGAATTCTTATATATACTAATGAGTGATGAGAACGGCTAAGATAGTCCTCGGTACTTCTGATCTAATTCATGGTGAAAATTGCAGAGTTTTTCTTCACCAAATTACCATCTGGCTAACCTATAAGGAAAGTTGCTGAGCTAAACTAGAACCCTCTGCTCGCCGTAGATTAATAGAAACCTGTACTTCCATAACTTAGGACTATGTTGTACTTGTGACCAAATTCCTACCGCAAAAACTGGAGTCATTTAAAAGCAAAGCGTCCCAGAATCCAAATCATACCGTGTAAAATCTAAACAATTTCTTTTAGCTTTAATAAGACTATAAGAGTAAATCAGGAAAGCGAAAACTTATATAGGTCTTAAAAAATCATAATTGAGATGCAAGATGACAAAAAGGTTAGGAACGTAAGGATACAAGGAGCCACATTCGGTGGTACAGCATTATGACCATATCTGGGAAGATAAAAAAGCCCAAATGTTAGTTTATTTTTCAAAGAAGACGCAAAAATCTTGCTGGGAAATAGATAAACAGCAATCTAACTTTTTACAGCAAATTACAGAAACATGAAATTAAGCAGAAACTTACCGAGTAAAATCTTCAACAAAGTTAATTGTAATATTTGGTTTCCAATAAGAAATCCATTCAACAGGGCCATCACCTTTAGAATCAGCTTCAGCATCATCAGCCACCTGAATTAACATGATTCCACACTTAGATCATTATATTGTAACAAAATCCAGTGGAACTGGAGGGGCATAAAATATTGGAAAAGAGATATTATCATGAGAAACACTGAACGAAATTCAAACATACAAGCACCAAGTAAAATTAGATCTACCCTACTAGAACTCAAAATTGATTTTCTTAAAAAGTAACAACATGCTTCAACAGAATGAGCTAAAGTAGTAAAGAACAAACCATAGCTACAGGTTCAGACCCTTCAGCATCCTTGGGGTTCCCAAGCAGACTTTTCCTCTTATCTGATCTTGATTTGGGCAAATATGCCACCACGGCTGAAATCAATTAAAAGGGGGTTAATAGTTCACCATTAATCTCCAAAAAATAATGTAATGGAAGAGGGTAGACTTACGGTGAGTCCTCCCAAAGGCACCTTGAGGCTGGTATTCAGGGTCATTTGGATCTGGGGGGTAACCCGAGCGCGCGAAGAAAACGTGGGCATAGAGACTACCATTGTTTTTCAAGGCCTGAGAGATTTAAACATCAACTTCATCATGCGCTCTAACTCTTAACAGATAAATAATCAAATTATAAGCAAGTAAAAAGGAAAGACATGTTCCCAAACTCCTTACATCGGAAGGATGGTAATTTAAAGAAATAGTACGAGTGCTTTCAGAACCCCAAGTGGCGTAAGGAATATTAGTTTCATGCCAAACAAGAGAAGATTCGTTCCCAAAGTCATTGAACCTTTGGTGCTCAGAAAGATATAACCACATATCCTGGAAAAAAAAACACAAAAAAAACATCATACAACAATGAAAGAGAAAATTTAAGCTGGGTTTGGGCTAGTTTGTTGAATGAATCTTCATACCAGAGGCTCGCCCTTCTGGAAGAGATTGGAGATGAGGTGAGAGGGGTCAGCAGGCTTTTTCGGAGAGAAGAATTTGGAAGCAAAGTACCAGAACACGGCGATCCTTATGATTCCAGTAATGGACTGTCCGAATCCACCTTGTTGCTGCTGTCGCGGTTGCTGTCCTCCTCCTCCGCCACCTCCGCCCGCTTCTACTACTGCTGCTGGCGGCGACATGCTTTCTCTCTCTCTCGCTTTCTCTCTCTCTCAGATGGGGGTTTCGAGTTTCGATTACTTCAAAAATCGAACACGGAAAAAGAGAAAGAACCTTTCGGCTTTGATGGTGAAACTAAAGCAAAGATGCAAGGCGATATTTTTCCTTTATCTTACGAAGGTTAAATATATAGTTTGGTGTCTAAATTTAGTTTTAATATTCAATTTGGTATCTAAACTTTCATTTTACCAAATTTGGTACTTAAACTTGAATAAAATACTCAATTTGATTCTAATATTTGTAGACTTCTTAATTCGCAATGATACAAGAAGTTGATCTTTTCAGTTCAAGTAGGTACTTATGAATTTTAACTAATTTAAATTAAGAGGTCAAATTGAAGTACCAATTTAAAACGAAAAAGTCAAGTTCAAATACCTAATTAGACGTCTGAACAAATTAAATACTAAATTAAGGTTTAAAATTAAATTTAAGTACTCAATTAAACTAAAAAATAAATCTCGAAATAAAGTTTAAATACGAAAATATAATACGTATAAGGACTCCTTTGTAGAAACCAAAAATTTCCAATTCCCTTAGAAAATTTGAACTAAAGATGAGAAAGTGATAGAATTGGATTCTAATCCCCCAATTCCAAAGGATTCTATCCAACTAAACGCCACCTAAGTGAATTTAGTAGAAAATATAATAAATAAAATATAATAATAAATCAAACTTTATATAATAAAACTCAATTAATATATTAGAATTTACATAAACCTAAAAAAAATTAAATATTATTAATACCATATATATTAAAAAGTATTGTTTTTATTAGATTATTTTACATTACGGTTTGGGTAAAGCAAAGTATATATAAGACGTGTGTTTTTGTGATTGAAGTTATTTTATTTAAAAAATAATATAAAAAAACTTTGAAAGATAAGATATTCAGTTTTTAATTATTTCATAATTAAGTTAAATCTATAAAATAATATTTATTGTGTTAAATTTTTTAAATAATATTTAAATTTAAATTTTGATATTATAAATGAAATGAAATAATGTAAAAAAAAATTCACATAATAAATCTCTATATCTAATCCAAATTAATAAATATAATATTAATAATTATTTATAAAAGATGGACATAACATAAATATAATCGAAAGATCTCAGAAAAAAAATATATAGGTTAAGATATTTCATAAAAGTTGAGTTTGATGGATATTAATAAGAGAATAATTAGGTATGAACCAAGTTATTCAGTGATTAAAGGGATCGTTGTTATCTCTAGAGGTTTCAGGTTCGAGTACCCGAGACTGTAAGGGATCGTTGTTTTCTCAACATGTTATTTTCATCTCATTATAGAATTAAAATATATTATTTTTCTGGTCTTTCTTTCAAGTACCTAGGGTCTATGATACATAAAGATGGGGTGTAGATGATGACGTTACACACTGTATAAAGGCGGGATGACTAAAGTGGAGGGTCGCTACTGGAGTTTTGTGTGACAAGAAGGTGCCTCTAAAACTTAAGGGAAAAATTTATAGAATGGCAATAAGACCAGCGCTGTTGTATGGATCAGAATGTTGGGCAATCAAGAATGATCACGTAAGGAGGATAGAGGTCGCAGAAATGAGAATGCTTCGATGGACATGTGGTAGGACTCTGTGGGATATGACAACAAACTCTGCTATTAGGATGTCATTGGGGGTGGTGTCTGTTTCCGAAAAATTGAGGGAGGGAAGACTACGGTGATTTGGACATGTCCTTAGGCGACTACCGTCGGATGTGGTCAGGAGGGTAGAGTCAATTACAGTCGGCGGTGCCAGAAGGAGAGGACGACCAAGGCGGAAGTGGGAAGACTGCTTGAGATCTGATTTGATGGATTTAGCCCTTACCAAGGATATGACCTCTGATAGGAAACTATGAAGACTTAAGACTAGGGTAGTCGAGTAGTGTGGGTCACATCTATAGGGTGTATCATCTCTGTCTTCTTTTAATGCCTTTGTAGTAATTCCCATGACTTCTACTTTTTATACATTTCTGTTATTGGTATTTATGAAGGCTTAGAACTAGGCTTGCTATCGTTGACTTATGTGTATCATTCTCTTCATGTTTCATCTTTTAAATTTAGCCGGGTCTTACGTTTCTGTCTATATGCAGAGATTTTTTTTCGCATGAATTTATTTGCAGGGATTACTTCCCATTACAGACACACATATGATATTAATGACTGCATATGAATACTGTTCAACTATGTATTTATGTATTTATTTATATATGCATTGCATTTTATCTATATTTTAAATTTTCTGACTGCCGGAAGTCTTCCACGGAAGCTACTCTCAACCTGGCGTTGGAAGCAGCCTACTATCCTACCTCCCCCTTACCCCATTGCATATGGGAATTGGGTTTTGTTGTTGTAAATAAACATAGAAAAGGCGCTTTCAGTTTGTGTCATAAGACACTACCATGGAAAATCTATTCTATTTCAAGTACCCAACTGAAGTGTCACATTTACCAACAGACCCACATTTATTTACATTTTACCGAGTCCAAAGGCATCCCCCAGATTCATTGTCCTTCTCATAGTTATCCTCCCAATACCTCCATTACCCTTCCTCATCATTGCAGCAAACTCCCCATAGTCTATTTGTCCATCATGTTATTTACTTGCACATGAGAGCTTAATATGCAGTGAAGTTTAGAAAGAAAAAACAAAACTCACATTGTCTTGATCGATTTCTTTGATCATCTCATCGAGATGGACGTCGCTTACTCCAAACTCTTTGCAGGCTTGTTGAAGCTCGTCGATGGTTATGTATCCACTACCGTCTTTGTCGAAAAAAGAGAAGGTGCCCACCAGATTCTCTTCCCTCTCCAGTTTATTCAAGTGAACCGTGGCATCAAGGAATTAACTGTAATCAATTGACCCGTTGTTGTCGATATCCGCCTACGAAAACAACATCAATGCTTGTCCATTTAAAGAAACATCAAAGTCAGTCCTGCAAGAGGTGTACATAAAGATTGCGGTTATCGATGGAATTTCTTACTGCATCCATAAGATTTTGATCTCAGATTCCATAAGTTCAGAACAAAGTCACTTCAGGCCATCTTTTAATTCTTCAAATGTTATTGTTCCGCTGTTGTCGGTATCTATCATTTTAAATAACTCTTTCAGACCACCAATTTCTTCTTCTGAAAGCCTTTCTACTATAACCTAACATTGAGTAATATGAATGTTAGTAGAAAATTTGATCAAAGCTCATAATACCTGAAAGCCCTAAAACATTGTTCTTACAAAATTTACAAACAAATGCCGACATGAAATACCAGATGATACAAAAATGAACCTCACAAGTAACAGGATAACATAACGTCTCTATGGAGTATGATTTGATCGAGATCTAGACACAGTGGTTATGGATTATGTAACACGGAAAATAAAAGATTCGACCGATATTCTACTCTGGGCTGAAACTGACCAATCTAAGGCCATCTATATAGCACATCAAAACAAAAGGAGAAAAAACACTAGAACCATTATATATACAACATACAGTAGTTCAAGTATGCAAACAGAGAAGTGAAGCTAACAGGAGCTGGAAAAATGGTTCGAACACAAGAAATCTGCACATCATGTTGAACCTAACTAGTATTTTACAATGAATATTTTCCAAAATAACTTGAAAAAGGAAATGTTAAAAAGAAAAATAAAGAAGCTGGAGCAGTCCAAGAACTTATAATCTATGAAATTAAAAGGTATGCATTTACTTGCACGCAAAGCCATCTTCTTAAGTTTGTTCATTACAGAGAACTGTTTCAGGCGTGACAGTACTGCAAAATCAAGAGGTTTATCGGGCGCAATTGTGTCATCTACAATCCATGAGTGGCCTGGTTTAAATGGTTACAACCATAAGGGTGTGAGGAACATCAGATGGAAATTTCCTGACAAATCTTTTGTTATGTTGCGGACTAAATTCGGGAAAGCAGATTCAATTTTGGGTTTGTATATAAATGATGAGGATGAAGGCACACATTATGTAAATATTAGTTAAGATCCAATACACTTATGCATTTGAGATGCATAACAAGATGGATATAAATTACATACTTCATTCTGGTAAACCCAAATACACCATTAAGCAGAGATCTAACAAATGTATGAATTTAGATTAATCATGGAAGTCATGTTTTCATGAGTTCTATTATGCATTTTATATATAACTGATATCGAAATCTCTTCGGAATTCAAGTTTCCAAACACAGTCGTGGTTTTATTTGACAAATCCATTATCCCTTTTATGCAGCAAAGGAAACTTACATAAGACTTGATGAGCAGTTAGCCTACTCTTCGGATCACAGCCAAGCATTTTTTGTATGAGATCCTCTGCACTATCAGAAATAGCAGGCCAGGGTTCTGAATCAAAATCTATTTTCCCTTGTAGAATCTGCCTGAAAATCCCCATTTCAGTTTCTGAAAGGAATGCAAAAACATCAACAACTATGAGATTTGAAAGTGCAAGAAAGAATTTCTCCTCAAAACTCCAAAACCTTTTTCACACACTCAAAAATTTCTACCCTGCCCAAAATGGAGGCACCCCACTCAATAGTATATACAGAATAACACCAGCACTCCACACGTCTGCTTCAGGTCCATAATGCTTACATAAAACCTCTGGTGCAACATAGTATGGACTCCCAACAACATCAGAGAAAGATTCACCTAGAAAGATAGGGGGAAAACTGTTAGTTCTTGTAAAAGGGTGATTCAACCGAACATTAGAATAATGCATGCTTAAATAAGGTGAAGAAATACAATGCAGATCTTGAAAGTTTTTTCCTCCATAGCAAAACCGCTAGACAGCCATAGAATAATAAAAGAAGAGATCGCTGTTCAATCAAACACGATATGATAAAAGGATTTTCCTACAACATATTGTGCTGCTTATCATTGCAGTTGCAGGCACAAAAAATATTAGTAACAGCATATCAGAAACTTCTAGGGTATTTTTTAGTTCCGAAATGTCCCTGCAAAAGGCCATGCACCGTTAACCAACGTGCATATTCATAGGTATGTGCAAGCCATTCTTCCTTCCTTTTTCTCCCTTACAAACTCAAGTCATCATCAAGATCAAACTATTTAGGCCTAGCTATATAAATTAGCTTAAGCAGTACCTAAGTTCTTTGCATTCTAGTTAACAGGCCTTTCCTTTTCCTCCTCCCTTAAATTTTAATCCCAGTGGCCTTCCCATTGTATGAATATAAGGCTTTCTTACCCAGTCTACTCCCATCGCCCACAAGGCGGTCCATTTCCTCTGATTGGCAATCGAGTAACCACAAACATTAATGCTACTCAATCCTATCTCTCATTCTCTTCCCCTCCCTCACTAACAAAAGTATGGAATCTGTTATACCTCCGGAGATATCATCCAAAAATAATATCTCCGCCAACAATTCCTTCGGAGTCCCATACTCCATGGATGGCTATAGTGCCACGATTAGACCTCTGACAGTCCTACGTGATTTACTAGAGTCAAAACCTACTCCAACAGCTGTAACCATCTTGTTTAAGTCAATCTACAGATAGTCGTCACCATCACACAGAAATACTAGTCAACAACCGTTAGCTCTTCGGCTGCAACTCTTCTCTCAAACCAGAAGGGGTGAACCGTTAACAGTCGAAGAGACCAAATTATTCCCATTAACAGAAATACAGAATAATACATAAATAGGTGTACCAAATGATATTCCAGCTAATACTAAGGTCTGCAAAATCAAAGTGCTCATATCACTGAACATAACATAGGTGTGTAAGGTGTTTGACTATTTCATGACCAGGATTCCATGCCAAATCAAATGCAAACCCTAGTTTCCCAACAACTAAAAGCCGCAATATGGCACCAGTGAAAAGAAAAAACAATCAGAGGGTAAAAGGTTGAAGAGAATAAACCTGGCTTTTAGAAAACAGACAACCCAAAATCAGTGGCCTTTAGGGCAGCATCTTCCTTAATAGTATCAAACAAGTTCTCAGGCTTAAGATCTCATTGCATAACCCCATGAGAATGGCAAGCCTCAACAACTCCAACAATGGTTTTGATCAACTTAGCAGCCTCCCTCTCACTGTAATGACCTTTCTTCACTATCCTACAAAAAAGTTCACCGTCCTCACAAAGCTCCATCACCAAGTGCACGGATAACCAATCCTCGTAGGTGCCCCTGATCCTCATCACGTATGGGTTCTCGGACAGGTGGTGCATTATCTGAATTTCTCTCCAAACGTTGTCGTAGTCCTCCTGGCAAATCAGCTTACGCTTTGGGATTGACTTGCAGGCGTATCGTTGTCCTGTTGGCTTGTGGGTGCAGAGGTATGTAGTCCCAAACTACCCTTGCCCGAGTTTCTTCCCTAAGCTCTAATGCTCAGCTAAGCTCGGGGTCTGGTAAGGAAGAACCATAGTGGGTTTCTTCCCTGAGCTTGGTTTACACATATCCTTTTTTCCTGGTTTTCTTCTGTAAATTTCAAGTTTTTGAGTAAGAGAAAAGATTGATTTTTTTTTCATTTTCACAGCCAATATCACACCATGTTCAATCAATATTTACCATAATATGTTTGTAAAGTATAGATTGATGGGGTATATGAAGAACAGATCAAAGAGTAGACCCAGGACCTTGACGATGATAGAATAACAAGAAGCTTTACCCAACCGAGGGGGCAATTATTATTAAATAAAAGGACAAAGCTCAAAGTCGATAATTTTTCTAATAAATCACTGGTGATCGGTATATTTATCGATTTAATACCGGTCAGATTATATTTCTCGATCTAACACCGATCAGATTATATTTCTCGATCTAACACCCGTAGTAGTAAAGTGCGCTCCCTGAACCGCGTTATACGCTGATTTGGCGTCACATGGTATAGCGCAGCCTCTGTCCCGCGATATACTATGATCTGACGCCACGTGGGTATAGTGCGCCCCCTGATCCGCGCTATATCTGGGTATCTGACACGTGGGGTATAGCGCTGTGCAGGGGGCGCGCTATACCCCTAAATACCTAACCCTTCATGTCCTCATCCTCTCTATAAATACCCCCATCCTCAATCACTTTTATCACACCAAATTCTCTCGCATTCTCTAAATTTCTCTCAAATATTCTATCTTTTTAAGGTATATTTTATAATATTTTTACTATTATATATTTACTTTATTTAATATTTTACTAATATAATTCTTTTGTAGATATATAATGGAAGGCAGTCTACTTCGCTCGGATGAAAATCATATATCTCTACACTTTGCTGATATGGTAACATTTTAACGTTTTAATTTAATTTAAATTATTAGTAATATTTAGTTGATTTATTTAATACATGATTATTAGATTAAGAATTAAATATCTCGACACTTTGCTGATACGGTAACATTTTAACGTTTTAATTTAATTGAAATTATTAGTAATAATTAGTTGATTTATTTAATGCATGATTATTAGATTAAGAATTAAATATCTCGACACTTTGCTGATACGGTAACATTTTAACGTTTTAATTTAATTTAAATTATTAGTAATAATTAGTTGATTTATTTAATGCATGATTATTAGAGTAAAAATTAATTTTTGTAATTATTTACTTTTAGGATAAGGACCGTGTATTAGATCCTTTTATTAGGAATCTTAAGTTAGTGATACCCAGCCGTGTCTTGCCGTATTTAGTAGAGGCTGGATTCGATTACATAGGTAGATATCAGGGTCACTGTAAGATAGAGCCAGAACTGATTTCTGTCTTAGTAGAGCGGTGGAGGCCGGAGACCCACACATTCCATCTTCCGTGCGGAGAGTGCACGATCACGCTTGAGGATGTTTCTATGCACCTGGGGCTTCCGGTGGATGGAGATGTGATATCGGGGATAGCTTCCGGTTCTTGGACTACCGTTAAATTGGTTAGATGCCAATTTTCGGGAGTTGAGCACAGACGTCTCTAAGGATGAGGTTAAGATGTATGCACGGGCATGCATACTGCAGTTGATAGGAGGGTTGCTGATGCCGGACAAATCGCGCAACCTAGTTCACTGCATGTGGTTACGGCATCTTAGCGACTTTCGTCTCGTTGGATCATTCAGTTGGGGCTCGGCAGTTTTGGCTTTACTGTACAGGGAGATGTGTGAAGCCACTGACTACAGACGTAATGCTATCGGCGGATGTCTCCTGCTACTGCAGTCTCGGGCATGGTATCGATTGCCCTTTTTATGTCCTGTTGTGAAGAACCCATTCGTATTTCCACTACTTCTAAGGTAATTATAAAACTGATTTTGTATATTAATAATTTTATACAGCGTATAACAAATTTTTTTCCTTGAATAGGTGGTCTACTGATAGGAAAAATCATCAGGAGCTACCTGATGATTTAGAAAAAATTAGGGTGCTAATCGATTAGAAGGTTGCACACAGGTATGAATTTTAATGTTTAAAAATCGATTTTAGATTATAGTTATATAATTAGATTATTATTTTGATAAAAATTATATATTATTTGTTTTAGTTTGAATGGGTGACATATTCTACTGATGATGTGAGGGCGGAGATCCCAACTGAGTTGAGGGGTCCATCAGATGTTTAGAGGCGATGGTCCCTCTGATCTGTTATACGACCGTCGAGTGGCACTCCACTGATCGCGTGCTCCGACAGTTTGGTTGTTTTCAACCAATTCCGGAAGCACCTCGCAATATGGACGAGTTGCATAGCTTAGATAGACGCGGAAAGACAGATACAGATTGGCTGGTGAGGCATCATGGGTGGGTCGTGTTGTGGGAGGATCGACATCGACGCCTTCCCCGTAGAGAGTCCATTTTTTATGACCTCTTGATGTATCCTGAGGATTATTATGAGTGGTTCAACAGTAACGGGAAACCGTTTCTACTTCCCGAGGATGCACGAGGGCAGACCTTTCCATGACGTCGACAGAGACGTTCACCGACACAGCACCATCATCCCCCGACTCGTGGACAGAGAGCAGGTGTTTCCGGTTCATACTCAGCTGAACCAACAAGATCTTCCTAGCAGCCACTGCAGCCATATATGATGCCGCATCCATATATGATGCCGCCATCACCTTTTCATTATCAGATGTCGCCACCGCTGCCTTCACCTGGTTTTATGACCCCACCACCGTCACAGATGACCCCTCCTGGAGGCTATTATGGGTCTATGTTTGTAGATCTGACTTGAGGTTCATATGCTAGATATTTGGCGGGTTCAGCCTCATCACCCATGGTCGCAGCACAGACACCTCCTGTACAGTTTTCACACTCAGCGATGTTTGGGTTTTCCCAATTTTCGCAGTCCGATAGGATAGTCAGTCATACACCTCCAGGGTCCTTATTCTATGGAGGTGCTTCATCGTCATCAGCTCCTCATCAACCTAATGTACCTGCTCAGGACGACGATGATGACGATGGTGACGACGACGACGATGATGACAGCGAGGAGTCAGAACCAATGATACGAAGAAATCCTCCTCGAGACCGACAGCCACCGCCCTGCGGAACACATTCGTGACGCAGACATCGATAGATTTTTTTTATTATATTTGTATTTACTTTATTTTGTTTAATTGTAATTTTTTATTATTTCTCATTTAATACTTACTTTATTTTGTTAAATTTGTTGGACTTTTTTTTAATATATTTCAGTTAATTTTGTTTATTACCATTTAATATCAGTTATTGTAATTTGGTTATCATTTACCATTTAATTCTTATTGTAAGTTTGTTGTATTTAAATACCAAATTGTTATTAGTTTGATAAAATTTAATGATTGTGTTCGTTTTTTTAATCTTCATCAGCGATTATCGAATGACATTAACTTGAAGTAAATACAAATTAAAATACAAGAATTATTATTTGATAAACAAATACATCATTTCCTCATCAATTGTTACTTGATGACAACAGAAGTGGACATGTTTTTCTAGTGTGTCATGGGTTTCTACAATGGCCACATCTTTTGTCTTGTCTAGATCTTTCTCGAATATCCATATCGCAATGAATTCGATTGGATTTTGGATGACCACGCTCCCTCAATAAACTAGGATTTGGTACAATCGGAAGCTAATCTTGAACCTCATCAGGGTCTTTGTCATTACCTATGGGGGGAAACTCAAATTCGTATACCTTAAAAACTTCATATAGTAGGTATACGAGATCCACAAAATGGTTATAGTCTTGGCGTGTATGCGAGCAAGCTGCTATCACATGAGAGCATGGATACTTCAGAGCTTGAAAAAACCAGCAGTCGCACGTTCTGTCCCTTAGATTTACTCTTAACGACACAACTTCAATCCCTTGAAGAGGTCGCGGTAATTCTGTGACACGAAACATTTCATGCCTTCTTGAAAAGCTTGTTATATACATTCTATTTGATGCAACAATTTTTTTCTGTAGATCTACAACTAATCTAGGGTGATAGACATGATCGCCTTGCATCCAGGTTTGAGCTTGTCCCCCGAGCTTCGCAAAAAGTGCCCCCAAACGAAAATATGTAGTTTTTACCAAAGTCGCTACAGGTAAGTGACGTGCACCCTTTAAGGTTGAATTGATTGCCTCAGCCAAGTTGGTCGTCATGTGTCCATATCGATATCCACCATCATATGTGTTCGTCCACATTTCTTTATCGATGAGGCTGATGTAATTGTATCCTTCCTCGTTCTTCGCCCGTAAATCTTGAAGCATTGATTCAAACGTTCGAGGAAGTAATTTGTAAACTGATCAAAAAATGTATAACTTACTAACTTGTTTTCTTTGCAAAATTAAAATGATCAAAAAATGTATAACTTACTAACTTGCTTTCACTTACCCATGCGCACAATTAATTGACGTTCATCATTCTTCTTGTACCTTCCATGATAGTTCGCAATAATGTGTCGGAGACAATACCTATGTTAGACAAAGGGTGGTTTCCACATTGGACCCAAAGACTCCATTGCTGCTTTGATCCCAGCTCCGTGATCTGAAATGACACAGATTTTTTCCCTCGTGATAACATGTGCACGTAAATTTCAGAGGAAAAAAGCCCAAGAATCTGTATCTTCTCCTTCGACAAGAGCAAAAGCAACTGGAAGAATGTTTCTATTGCCATCTTGGACAACTGTCAATAATAAAACTTGCTTGTATTTTCCATACAAGAAAGTCTCGTCGATCTGGACCACAGGCTTGCAGTATTTGGCAGCATTGACGCACTGTGGGTAACTTCAAAAAACCCGGTAGAATTGGCATCGATCGCGAAGAACTCGATCATTATGGTATGCATAGGAGGTTTCGAAGTCCACAATTGTCCCAGGATTCAACGTCCGCACCAGCCTAAACCAACCTGTAAGTTCGTTGTGATGCATCCCATTCGCCATGAAGTTTGACAATGGCATTTTGTTTTGCCAACCAAGCTTTTTTATAGGAGACAATGTACCCATACTGCGATTGTATAGCTGAAATCAACACTGCAACAGCTATATGAGAGCTTTCTTTTACCATGGGCATGATGGCTTGGCATATCACTTCAGAGTCCAAGTTGGGATGATCTTGGTTGACCCCTCCAGTACAACATGTGTGAGGACCGTTGTATAATGTTAATTCCTATATGTTTTTTCTCTTCATTTTCGATACGCGAACCATCCAATTGCATTCATTTTCGCGTCGGGCACAGTAGCATACATATTTTTCGGTCGTCGATCGGTTGACTCTGGACTGAACAGAATTACGGATATTGTAATTTTTGATAGCCATCATCGCTTCTTCTTTGCTTGAAAACTTCAGGCCTAAAGATAACTTACCATTATTTATTGATGAATAATATCTATAGTCACCGAGATGAGGCATATCCACAAATTCTGGCCCGTACATTGCACCATAATCAGCTTCATACATGTGTGTAGGAGGGTCAGTTTGTGCCACATTTCCTGGAATTTCATCATCATCGGAGTTGAATTGCGGTGATTCTGGGTGACTGAATAGTCCAGTCTCAGCACCATCCGCACCAGGCTCACGAAGCGGTTCTTCTGGTGGAGATGATGGTTCTTCCATGCTCTCCACATTTAGGTCGAAGAACCTACTACTTGCATGCCTTCCCCTTGAACTGGAAGGCATATTGTTGAAAACATTTTTGATATTTCGATATAACAAATTAAGTTAAATGAATTTTAAGATTTCACAAATGATTTTACAAATTTATATTCGATTCAATTAACAGAATATCAAATTATTACTCCAAGTTTTTCAAGATCAATTTTAATCCTTACTAAATGTGTAAAATTGTGATTTGTACTTAAACTATTTTTGAAACAATTTTCACAAAGTATTTTGAACCAAAAACAAGCCTTAAATCAATTATTCAAAGGCATGCACCGATGAATCAGTCCATGCATCGATGCATCGATGAATTAATTAAACATCGAATGCATTCCATGCACCGATGCACTCTCCATGCATCGATGCACTCTGAATATTTTCAAAACATCGAATGCATTTGATGCATCGATGCACAATCCATGCATCGATGCACCAGGCTATTTTTCAAACATCGAATGCATTTCATGCATCGATGCACACTTGGTGCACCGATGCATCAAGTGTTCCAACGGTCAAAATATTTGAATTTTACACGAATGCACCGATGCATCCTTGATCATGCATCGATGCATGAGACGCTCCACCCATAAAATTAATTGTTTTCACACAATAACGGCTCTATTATCTCCACTATCTATCACCAACGTTCAAAATTATTCAAGGAGTATTTAAACAAGTTTTGAAGCCATTGATAAAAAACAAGAAACATCAAGAAACTAGAATCAAGAGAGAATCAAAGATAAAGCATCAAACCTCAAGTTTGAGCATTTAAAGCATATTCTTCATTCAATATTCATTTTGCTTTCAATAACACTTTTGTACTCAATTGTATTCATCTTTGAGTGTTCTTTTCTTTGTTCTGGAATTGTGCAAACAATCAACCTTGTGAGGATTTCCTTGTAAGTTTGCAAATTTGTATTGTTCTCTTTGGGAGAGAGTTTTCTCAAGAATTTGGGGTATAATTCTTTGAGGGTTTGTAAGGTTACTCTTTGTCCTCAAAAGAAAGACAAATTAGTGAATTTGTGGAAAATCCTTAGTGTGGATAGCTAAGGTAGTGGACGTAGACTTTGGTTGAGAAAGTCGAACCACTCTAAATCGCTGTGTAAATCTTTTCAATTTTCTGCAAAAGGTTCCACAGAAATTTGTATTGCCAATTCACCCCCTCTTGGCCGATTCCCGTCGATCGATTAACTCAATAATTGGTATCAGAGCCTCACTCATTTGAAGGTTTAATCGCCTCTTGAGTCAATTCGGGAAGAGTTACATCGATTACAAAGTCATCAATGGCCTCCACTTCAAATTATGACTCTGGTCTCGATTCGATGCCCGTCAACAAGCCTCCTTTCTTCAATGGGGCTAATTATGCCTATTGAAAGAATAGAATGATGTACTTCATTCAAGCAAGTGACATGTGAGCATGGAATGCCGTAGAAGAAGGATACATCAAGCCTCTCACTCATCCAAGGTTGTGGAGTGAAGAAGACACAAGAATATTCTAGCTCAACTCCAAAGCCATCCATATTATTTTCTGTGCTTTTGGACCAGATGAATACGGAAGAGTTTCATCGTGTACAACCGCCAAAGAAATATGGGATAAGCTTCAAGTCACACATGAAGGTACAGATGAGGTAAAGAAATCAAAAATTAGTATTCTAACGCATAACTATGAAAATTTCAGGATGAAACCAAATGAAGACATCAAAGCTATGACGGATAGATTTTCAACGATTGTCAATGGTCTTAAATCATATGGAGAGATCATCTCAAATGAAAAGCTTGTGAGGAAGTTAGTCTACTCCCTCCCAAAATCATGGCAATCAAAGAAGACGGCAATCATCGAGTCTAAGGACCTATCGTCCTTAACTCTTGAAGAACTTATCGGTTCACTCCTCACTAATGAGATGATGCTTGAAGATGAGGTGGACCTTGATAAAGTTGAAGAGACACCAAAGGAGAAGGAGAAGAAGAAAAACATTGGAGTTACTCTCAAATCCACAAAAGATGAGAGTGGTTCTAATAATGATGATGATGACGAGGAAATGGCATTATTTGCCAAACGGTTCA